AAATTCCAATGGGACATCAAGGATACTGAGAGAGGGCTAAAGGAGCTGGCTCTGGAGGGGAAAGTAGAGTTTGCCAGTTGAAGGTGAGGAATAGCATGTTAAACTGGGAATCTGTGTGCTTGTAGGATGAGCCACACAAATACACTGGAACAAGTGGTCAGGGACATACTTGATAAATAATCTATATCTGTATTTATATCTATATCTGTTATGGTTTTGTCAAGGTGGACTCCCCCAAGCCTCATGCACTCACGGAGGTGGCTGAATCTAGCGTTGTGATTGGTTCGTTGTTTAGCGCTGGTATTGGTGGTATGAGTGCTGCACCCATGCAGAGGTGGAGCTGATGTACAATGTAAGGGAGGCCAGGAACTGTGCTTTCCCTTTTTTGCCCAGTTCACTCTTGCTGTTTGTGGTGGCCACGAATGGCTGCCCCTAAGTCATGCCACCTTGCTTTGGAACCAGCTGAGTATGGACGGAAACCTCCAAACTGTAAGATAAATAAACCTTCTTTTGCCTCACTTTGTGCATCAGGTATTTTGTCTCAACAATGAGAAAAAGAAACTAAGACATATATTTACATGTATTGCAATTTATCTTGTGTGCAGTGGCAAGTGTGGGAAGAATTTTATCTGAGGCTGGGATGTGGTGGGATTGTCTATTTCCACGCACCTCTTGGCACCTTCGTGTGGTCAGGTTGGTCAGGAATTACTCTGTTAACCAGATGGCTCCTCAAAACCTCTTCTAATTCTTTATCATGTTGCCCCAGACAAAAAGTTGACAATTGACTATTTTAATGTCCTGTGACATGTTTACTCTGCCCTTGGGCCCAGTAACTGGTCTATATAACCATGGAAATAGTTGAGGCTCCAAGTCTCACAGAAGATAAAGAACAGAGATATATTCTCTTGCCTGCCATGCAGGTAATATTTATTTCTGGGCTCTGGATGACTGAAGATGCTAATCAACTTGTAATGAAGGCAGCAGTCAATGGGACAGTACTGCTATCTGATGTCCGATCAACAGCAGACGGCCCCCCCCCAGCCCACTTTTTCTTGTTAGTAAGTGGAAGATTAAGCCTGGCACAGGCTCAGGGATATCAGTGATTAAATGGCAGGTCCACATTTCTGCATAGCTGTAAGAGTGTTTCAAAGGAAGAAAATGGTTGGCAGTGCCAAGACACAGCTATGGCACCCTATGCTACCTCCTCACAAAGCTGTCACTTGGTTCCGTCTTTGCAGCTAGAGTCCAACACTGGAAACCAAGGACTGGAGGTGATAGCACTACAGAATACTGATATCCAGCCCCAAACCATACCCACGTCTATCAGGGTGGGATTTAGGCACTATGTATATTTTTACTCCAAAATCCCAAGGTGATTCTAATGCAATCAGGTCTGTGAACAACCTGAGCAAATGAGAAGTCAGCCAAGATGGTCAGGCAGAAAGGGCGCATGGGCTAAATGCTAGGGCTTCCACTCCAAGTGTGGGCAGGAAGCCTGCCTACTTTCCAAGAGTCCATTTAATGGCCTGTGCATGATTACAGAGGTACCACTTGGCAGGGAAGAGATCCTCTAAAAGGAAGGCTGCAGAGAAGGAAGTAGGTTTGACTCACAGTGTTCCCCCAATTTTCTATAGAACCGTGAGCCAGAAGAGTAACCATCCAGATGCCCTGGAGCTGGACAGCAAGGTGTAGGATCCCTGTCTCCAGCCCTCTGCTACAAAGTCTACTAGGAATGCCCAGTGGGGAGTTCTGGTTGTGTATTCAGAGGTGGTGTGGGGAATTTTGTCAGTTAACAAGGAGCACGTATTGACTTTGAAAACAAATCACTAAGTAATAAAAGCAACAACAACAATAATAAGGAAAACTATTAAAACCCAAGCGGCACTCTATCATCCATATACTATGACTAGTAGATGTTTTAAATGTGTTTTAATGCATAGGTTCTCTTTCTTTTCTAAAATTTGTTTATTAAAGAAAATTTGTCTCCCAGTCATTTCTTCACAAGATTGATAAGATCTACAGTTCACATAATTATTCAATTCCTTTGTTTCTCAGTGCATACACAGTGGTCTCAGGATAACAACCTCAGTGTTGTAAACCACAGACGAATTCTGAAAAGTTTACAAAGTGGGTGGGAAAGGCAGTTCTGTTTTCCTTAGGGCATATCCCACTAGGAATAAACAAATTACTGTATTTTACAATCCCTTGGAATTCTCTTTCTGTTTGTGAATTTGTCACAAACTGCATGCACAGTAAAGTTCATCTGTTTCATTTCACTTTTTATTAGTAGTAATTGATTTTTTAAAATTTAATTTTACTTTAAAATCGTGTAAACTATTTGCCTGGTTCCAGAATCAAACCTAAGCAGCAGAGTTATAAAATGAATCCCCTTGAGGTAACCATTTTCTTTTAATTTTTATGGTTTATTCTTCCATTGCGTTATTAATATAAACAGATATTTGCATATATTCATAGTCTCTTCGCTTATAAAAGGCATAATATACACATTACATTTGAATGGATATCAGGAATTCTCACAATTGTGTCATGCTAAGCTTTTTTTTTTACCTTGAATCATGGTTTGACTTTCTTTTAAGTGTGATTTTTAGCGATAATTCTTTAATATACAGCTACTAATTATTAAATATATAATTTGATCTTTTTCTTTTTCTAATACAGTCTTCTATTTGACCTATCTATTTTTTTTTACTATCTGAAAACTGTGGGGTATATTCATTGTGCAACCTAACTTTTCCAAAGTACTTTATTAATTTTAGTGGTTTTTTTTAAAAAATTGTTTCTATTGAGAATCCAGATGCATGATGATTTTTAATCTGCAAATAGCATTTTACCATTTTCTCTACTAACTCTAGTTTCTCCTTGATTCATTGCATTGACTAATGTAATACCAACAAAACATGTGCCGAACAGCATTGCTTTTAGTCCTAGTTCTCATGTAAAAGTCTCTGGCTGTGCTGTTAATGTCATATGATATGTGATCAAATACTTCAGTGAGTGTTTAAGTGCAAAATAAATTTTTTACAGAGAAATATATCCCCATTTGCCTCTCTCAAAGTACCCCCCTCTCTTTAAACACACTTAGCCCAAGGTACTTTCTATTTTCTGAAGCAGTTCTGGAAGTCCTCTTCCTCAAGTATCTTTGCTTGTACTCTGGTAGCTGCCTCAGTGTCCTGAACTGTACCTTTCACGGTCAGTTTGACTTTGAGGAAGAGGCAGAGTAGGATGGTGCCTGACCCTATAACTGAGATGGATTTCTGCCTTTCCACTGGACTGTCCTGGGCAGCAGCATCACTACAGTATTGGTCTCAATAATAATATAAAATCATAAAGACATGCAGAAAAGGACTTCCATAACAGCTTCTGAAAGCAGCAAGAATGATGGAGTAAGTATCTTCAAAGGCATGACTATTTCAAGTAGGATTAATGGCAATGTGCCTTTTACTCTAAGAATTTATTTAGAAATTGAAATGCACACTGCATTTTTTGATCAGCCTGTGTAATGCCATTTTTATACATGTGGAGAAAAAACAATGACATTACTTTCTCTTTATATAAATATGTATTAGATTTGGAAACTGTCTTTTCTCCACCTGTGGAAGTAATCCTGAATTTTATCTTTGGGCCTATTAATACAGAGTAAATCAAAATACGTATACATCAGGAAAAGAAAACCTTTATAAATATTTTAATATTAAACTTATTGAGACATCATGAAATTAATACAACTTATCTTTGAGCTCTGCAATTACAGGAGGTGCTCAAAGTGGTGGCCGTTAGCTTCCAGGCATCTATTAATACAATGAACTGCTGTATACATGGTGGACTCTGTATAATGAATTATATAAATACAATCCCTCTTATCGAAACTTTGCATTCCTTCAAAGGAACACACGTGGTTATATTGTACATTTTCATGCATTTTTGAATTTGGATTGTTGGTGTTTTGTTAAAAATTATTATTATTTTTTTTGTCTTTTTCCTTTTTTATCGGCACCGGGGATCAAACTCACGACTGTCTGCTTGCAAGGCAGGCGCTTATGCCGCTGAGCTAAATCCCCAGCCCCTAAAACTTATTTGTATAAATATTTATTAGTGTAAGTGGTCTGCATGTAATTCTCTATTTTGATATAGTTTTGTCAGCTTTTGTTATCAATAGTATACTCATTTTATAAAATACACTTAAAACTTTTCCTTATTTTTTTCCTATTCAATCCTTAACATCTTGGGTGTTGACAAATATGTAGTCACTGCCAAACACTTTGGCCATTCCATTCACCTGCACCTACCAGTGCTCTATAAGGAAGGTGGTGACATCCCAGGTGACTGAAACAGCCTCTGGCTATGAGCGGAGCTGGAAGCTGTGAACAGGGGTGGGTCAGCTTCGGATTCATTCTCGTTTCAGTAGATTGGATAACACAGAACAAGTGCTCAAAAATGTTAGTTGTGATCATCAAATGAGCAAAGTTATTAAAGAGAATAAAATCAAATGTGAGCTTGCTGAGAATCGTCAATCCAAAATCAAAATCAGTGTAAGTGGCCTGGCAATGGGATATATTTTGAACTGGTGATCTCCTGGCAGCTTCTGGGTGCGTAGTTCTGGCTTTAAGAACTCCTTAAGGTTTCATTCCCTTTTGCTATTTGTCCTTACAATGGGGGAGAAAGGAGAAATGAAGTAACACCCCGAGTATTTACTGAGTGTGAAGCTAGGTGCTAAGGGCTTTTCTCACTTGATCTCATTTAATCCAAACCAAGACTCTATCTGAGTAATTATTACTCACTATCACTTTTGTCAGGTGAAGAGACTAAGGCTTGGAGAAGGAGGGTAACTTTGACTGTAACTTCCTGAGGTTAGAAGTGGCAGAAAAAAGAAACCAAAAGAAACGGGAAACAGAGCCTATCTGCCTCCGCCTGCCTGTCACCGCTGGAGGGCTCCTTCCTGCAAGCAGCCAGCAGGAGCAGGGACACACAGCCAGGTAAGCCCCGAGGAACGCAGGCCACCACTGGAGGCCCTTTGTTCCCTCGGGCAGCCATCACCCACCAAGAGAATCAGACAAACACACTGTGTGTCTACCACCATTGGGGGAGTCCCAGTGTAGATATACAGACTGAGAGAAGCAGCCCCACCTCCACGCACCGCTGAACATGAGGAAGCCTCAGAGTAGCTGCACAGGTCTGGAGAAGCCTGCCCCATGGCCTACTACTTCTCTATAAATCAGGGGTCAGAGGAACCCAGGCGCCTGTCCCATTCCCCTACACCACGGATGGCAGCCCACGTGGGAAGTAACTGGGGCTCCACAACCAGCTTGTTGGGAGGAACCCAGGCTCTTGCAGGTAAATGGATGCAACTGGAGATCATGTTCATGGGCCAAAGAGTTTGAACTATACACGTGAACTCGGGCATAAGAAACAGAAAGAGTTAGTAGGATTCAACAGCAAAATAGTTATTGTAAGAGTGAGAGGGGAGGGAAAGGTGGTAATAACTGTTAATTTCTTATTGTTTTGTCTTGAACTCTTGTATTGTTTTCACAATTTTGTTAGGTTTGGCTTTGCTCTATCTTGTTTTGTTAGATTTTATACTGTCAGACGGTAGGGGCAGCTATTTTGAACATAATGGGATGTATTATGGCAATCATGGTTGGCTTCCTATTATCTTGTTTTGAAGTCTTATAATTCTTTTATTTATTTGTTTAATTGGTTTTATTCTGTTTTGTTTTGTTTGATTTTATTATGTGTGATGGTATGGGCAGCTATTCTGAAGAAAGTGATACATTATGGTAGTCATTGTTGATTTCCTATTATCTTGCTTTAAAGTCCTATCATACTTCTGTTCTTCTGTTTTAATTGATTCTATTCTGTTGCTTTATTTGGTTTTATTATGTGTGATGGTATGGACAACTTTTTTGAGGAAAATAAGATATTATAATAACCATCATTCAATTCCTATTATCTGGTTTTGAAGACCTGTAATGCCTTCATTCTTTTGACTGGTTTTGTACTATTTTGTTATGTTTGACATTACTATATATGAAGGTATGGTCAACTATTTTGAAGAAAACAAGATACATATGGTAGCCACTGTTGATGTCCTGTTGTCTTGTTGTGAAGTCCTGTGTTGCTTGCATTGTTCTTTTCTGATTTGCTTTGTTCTGTTTTGTTTTCTTTTGTTTTACTTTCTTTAAAATAAAATTTCTATAAAAAATCAGAGGCAGTTACTGAGCACGATTTTAACTATTATGTAAGAACTTTTTAATTTTTCTGAGTTTATTAGGATATAACATACATTAGCAGCAAAAAAAGAAAATAGAAGATGTGATGATAAAATGAAAATAATCCAGAAGTCCACCTTTTCAGAAAAATAAGTTTGAAATATATTTTTTGAGAACTTTACCTATAGAAATTTTCTGATATAAAAATGTATATGGGAATGTATGTGCATATGTATGCATATATAATAATTTAGCAAAAGTGGGTTAAAGCTTGGAAAAGTATAGCATTTTGTTAACTTTTGGGTTTTTTTCAACTCAGTAGATGGGGAATTTCAAAATTTTGAGCTCCTGCCTTTTAAATTTTAATAACAGAATTCTGGCTTGCAAGGGGGCACGTGGGCATCTTTGCTGCGCAAGCCCGATGGCTGGAGTTGATTCTTCTTCCTCACAGGTTGTACATATTTTATGAGTAAGAGCAAGGGAGAGTTGAGGAAAGGATGGCTGAGGCAGTAATTGTCAAATGCAGGTAGTCAGTGAATATTTGTTATTTGCATTAAAGAATGCACAGTGCATTGCATTTTTAAAAATAGTTATTTTCTCTTTTAGCAATTTTGAAAGGATTTCAAATTCCTGGGGGTGACTCTACTGCTAAGAAACAATTATAATTGTATTATTCCTCCAGGGGCTACACCATTGGAAGCAAAATGATGAAGAAGTCTAATAGCCCTTGCGTGGAGAGGTGCTTCTTGCTGGCCTCTGTGTTTCTCTTTCTCTCTAGGTCTTGGTTAGCTAACAGACTCATAGCAGAAGAACAAAGACCATGAATAGGTAAGTTCAGAATTTAAAACAGTACAGATAAACAATTAACATGGAACATACTTTATCTGATTTGCATTCAAAGAAAGATCAATTATTTCAAATATCTAGCCGGGAAATCATTGTATCTGTGCACTAAAATTTGTGAGTGTGTTGTTCCGAGCATTGAACTTAGGACTTTATACCTGCAAACTGCATTTCCAGTTTCCATATAAACTTTTTTTAAGCTATTGACAAACTGTTTTCAAAAGGGTAAAGCCCTGCTATATTGTTCCCCAGCGATACCAGTTACCAACTCTCCAGTGACAAAAGCACTTGCTTCTTGGATATCCTTCACTTTTTGTTATTGGTTTAGTAAAAAAAAAAAAAAGAATTTTGTGTTGATTTTCATTTTCTTCATTATTCGTGAAGTTGAACACTTGTGTATGCTTTCTGTGATTGTGTAACATTTTATCAAGTGTTTATTTTCTGTAATATTGCTTCCTTTTGCTTATTGGTTTATAAAATTTAAAAATTAATTAGTTCCTGATCATTTTATTTTACAAATAGTTTCATCAATATTAATTTGATTAACTGTCTTATACAGATACTTTTACTGTTATGTTTGCCAATTTTTTGTTATTGGCTTCTGAGTCCTATGCTTAACTTTGAATATATTTTTATTTAAACATTCTCTCTCATTGTAGTATAAAAAGAATGGTCCCCTTTTACTATCATCTCTGTCTCTATTACCATGTGGCTCTGGACTCTCTCTCTGGAGTTTGTTTTTGAATATGAGATGTGTTCAGGATTGCTAATTAATAGTCTTCTCAATTCAGGAAAGACTACAGCAATTGATGAATTCTATCTACCTCAGACATTTATGGAAGAATGATAAAATGGATTTATTACCAAATGCTTATTTAACCCTTTTCTACTGTGCATGGGGCATTTTGTGTACTGAAATACAAAATTAAAGGTCAAATGATTGTTCTTTTGTGGAGTGAATTATAAAAAGTAAAAATCTGGGTATTGCAGCTACCCTGGAGGCTGAAGCTGGATCATCCCTTTAGTCCAGGGATTTGAGGACAGTCTGGACAGCACAGAGAGAACCTGCATCTTTAAACTTTCAAAAAAAAAAAAAAAAAAAAAAAAAAAAAAAAAAAAAAAAAAAAAACAATGTCAGGTAGAACTAATAAAACATTGCAATACAATAAAGAAACAAGTTTTCTGTACCCCAGATGCTCAGAGAAAACTTCTACTTCTCTGAAGTCTTGATTTTTAAGCTGAGACTTAAATGATGATTAGAAAATAGGATGAAAGAATCCTAAGAAAAGAAATTCAAGAGAGAAAAAGCAAATCCACAGACTCTCAATTTGCCATCACTGAAGTTGGACTGAAGGTGGAGGTACTGTGAGGAGGAAAGAAATGGAAGTGCTTGAAGAGGTAAGAAGTGTCCAGGTAGCAAGTGGCTCCTTGAGCTTGGTAAATAGTTGAGTTGCATTCTAAGTGGTAGGAGGCCCTGAAGGATTTTTAGTGATTTATATTTTAAATTTGTGTACCTGTTATTCCTGAAGCTGCTACTAGAGGGAAGCAGGAGGAAGTGGGGCAGTCACAGTGTAAGAACTCTGGGGCTGTGGGAATGTTGTGTTCCCCAAAAGGGAACAGAGTGTATATAAGGAAGGACTATCGCAAGAACCGTGTCGAACTAAGAAAGTGGATCTGACTGTGTTTCTATAGATAAATTTCTGAGATTTGTTTCAAAACAAACTACAGTTGAGCCATTCTGAAAGCACTGAACCATTCTGAAAGAAAGAGGTGTCTTCAGGACTGACAAATCAATGCTTTTTGAGTGGCCATGCGAACCTCACAGGGTGACAGGGAGGCTGGGGGATTCCCCAAAGAACTGAGACTGTAGCCTAACAATTTAGAGATTTTTGTATTTTATCAGTGCTCCCAAGGTATCAAGAGAAGCTCACCTACTCCAGCCATCCCAGGAGACACCAGTATGGACCAGATCACTAGAAAACCATCTGACAGCCAGCTGGATGCCCTGGGACATCTTTCTCCTAATGAAATACAACTGCAATTCAAATCTTTGCCAAACAATATGCTTGTTGAGCAGATCATAAAGGGGATGAGTGAAGAAAATTGAAAGTGTTTAATGATATCAGCCTCTGATTTTCATAGCCAAGATGGTTACCAGGTGAACATAAATTTGGGAGACCTCCCTCCACTGGTGATGCTTACATGGAAACACTTATGTGCTACATGAATGAAAGGGTTGGAATAACAGAAGTGAGTTCTCATTGTGCCTCAGTCACTTACTAATTCTGTTACTGTGGGGAAGTGATTTAACCTACCTGAGTCTCAAATTCCTCATCTGGAATGGGGAAGGGAAACAGTGTCCCCTTCCTAAGGAGGTTATAGGGTCAGGCGAGTTAACGCATGCAGTTTTTAACGAGGAAGCGGTACTGCCAAATCGGGCTTGTTGGCTCTGTGTTTAATGCTCCTGTGTTGATTGGCAGAATATTTTGTTAAATAAACTCAAGTAACTTATTTGATTTTGTTTGTGCATCTTCATTGCTTACTTCCAAATCATCAGTTGTGCTCCAGAAGTTGGAGTGGCTGAGTCACTTCCACTGGACCACACCAATCTGCAGAGCCATTACTCCTTTCTCCTTGAGTTATGGCCTAACTTCCAAATCAGAAGCCCCTGGCTCCTGTCACCACCAGTGCTCCAAACTCCACCACTTGGATCTTCAGGAATGATGTAATTTCACCATTTCCTCAAGAAGAGTCCTATAATAGCAAGAATGTATGAATGATTGCACCTACAGTAAACACTTTGGGAAAAATATGAGCAGTCAAATCAGGTTTCTGTAGATGACAACCTTAATTTTAAGACTAGGGAAATTTATGCATCAAAATTCCCATATAGCAAAATAACTGACATTATGCTTTCAATTTTAATATAGCAGAAGCTGAAACACAGCAGCAAGTGTGAGGATCTCAGTCGCAGAGGAGAGATGTTTTGGACACTTTGGGCTCAGGACATTATCTTCCTCTTAAGGGATGCAGTATATGATCTGGGTTGACTACTGAAGCTTGAAACATGGAGGAACTCTAAGACAACACTGTGTTTGTTTACACAGTGAATGCCAAAATTTTTAATTTCTCTTAGAATACACATTGCTAGAACGAATACTCCAAAGGAAAATTTAAACATCACTCACTGATTGAGAGAGGTGGTGACCTACCTACACTTTAAAGTTGAAAAGTAAATGATCATCAAGAGTTTTATTTTTAGGTAAAGCAATTTAAAAATGAGTATGTTGTTGTTAAATATTACAAGGAGTGGCTATGTCAGGCATCAAGGATAAGTATATGTATAGAATATGTATTTCCGATATGCCAAGAGGCATTTGTATTTAAGGCACTTTAGTCAATATTTCAGCCATTTCCTTGCATACTGAAATGTATTTTACATTTTCAAGTAGCAGCTCACAAAGTTAATCAATAGTGTATACCAATACCGTTAAGCAATTTTAATCAGACTTGAAAACACCTCAATTATGCTGCCCCTTCACCCCTCCTACAAGTGGTTGTGGGCTACAAGAGGTAAGTTACAAGAGAAAATACTTCTATCAGAGCTGATAGGACAATTCTATTAGTCATGTTTTTTCACGGATTCAGGTGTGTGTGCATGTGCATGTGTGTGTGCATGTGTGTGTGTGTGTGTGTGTGTGTGTGTCTGTGTGTGTGTAAAATGAATTGCTCATGCAATTGTGGATGTTGAAAAATCCAGTCTCCAGAGTGGGCTGGCAACTTTGGGACTGGGGAGAGCTGATGGTCTAATTCAGCAGTGATCAGATCAAGTCTAAAGGTGGTCTATGGGAGAGTTGTCTTTTACCTAGGAGAAGGATAGCCATCTTTTTCTATTCAGGCTTTCAACTATTTAAATGAGTTGCATTCACATTAGGGAGGGTGTGTTGGTTGGTTTTTCATTACTGTAACAAAATACCTGAGAGAGCTTATAAAAAGGAAAGTTTTGCATCAGCTCACAGTGTTAGATGTTGGTGGACCTTATTGCATTGGGCTCATAGTGAGGGAATACATTGAGGGAATACATTACAGTCATGAGTATGAGGCATAGCAGAACCATTCATCTCATGGCTGGGAGACACCTTCCAGTTTCTGTGCCTTCCAGGAACATCACAGAGCCGAAAACTTTAAACACATGGGCCTCTGCAGTGTCTTCCAGATCCAAGGCATAGGATTCTCTGATTCACACGTTAATATTATCTAAAAATGCTCTCTCCAAAACACCAGAATAATGTCTGATCAAATATCTGAGCATCCTCTGGCCCAGGTCAGCTGTCAACGAAATTAGTCTTTACAACAGCCTGTTCCAGAGAACATCTTTAGGTGGGAACATCTTTAGCCCAGTTTTCCCTGAACAATCCATGAACTCATCAGTTCAGCAGTGGCGCTGACATGAGTAATGGAGAAGGGCAAAGTGATGAATTCATCAAAGCAAGACATTTTCCTGTCCGCTAAACTTGGGGTTGTAGATAAAGAGAAGAAAAAAGCAAACCCCTTTAGTGTGCAGCCTGCATCCACTTACTCTAAGTGTGCACATTATTTGGTATCTGGAAATGTGTTTCTTCTGTTGTAGAGGGAATATGAGAAGATAGTACCAATCTTTGTTACCTTGGTCGACGGCAAGAAAAATTTGAAATTGTCATATAGCTAAGAAGGTTGCCTTTTCACTTTTTTTATTTTACCTGCACATGTTTGCAGTTCATGAAGTTTACAGCCAGCTTGGGGATGGTTACATGCACTATTACGGCTTGTTTCTTTCTGTTTTTAATCTCTTCCTCTTCCCTCCCTTTCTCCTCCCTCCTTCTCTCATTTTATATTCCTGTTGAACTTATTTGTTTTAGCTCATTTTAAGGCCTATAATGTTTACATTAGCTGGGTTGCTAGCTTCCTGGATGTGTCATATCTTTATTCCTATCCCCCATTTCTCTTCTCCTCCTCCACACTTCTCACTTTTGTTCCATTAGACCACTTCCCTATTTTAAGATCTACCACCCCTATACCTTTCTATTTATCCTTTATCATTTTCTTACTTTATAATTTACTCCACTCATATGACAATGACCATACAGATTTCAGCCTGTGTGTCTGGTTCACTTCATTATATTTTTCAGGTGTTTCCATTTTTCAAAAAATGTCTCAAGTGTGTCATTCTTTAAAGCTGAGTAGTATTCTATCATATATAGATAACACATTTTCTTTATCCAGTCATCAGTTGATCAGTATTCAGGTTGCTTTCAGGATATAGCTATTATGAATTATGCTATTATAAACATTGTTTTGCATGTATCACTGTAGTATGATGATTTAAGTGCTTTGGGGAAGACACCTAGAACTCTTTAGGGAAGATACCTCGGTTATACAGAATTTCTAATTTCAGTTCTTTGTGAAATCCCCATACTGATTTCCATAATGGTTACACTAGTTTACATTCCCACCTTTCTCACCACAGCCATACCACATTTGTTATGGCTTAATTTCTTAATGATTACCATTCTTTCAGGAGTAGGTTGGAATCTTACATTGTTTTAATTTGCATTTTTCCAATGATCAGAGATGTAGAAATTTTTTCACATATTTGTTAACCATTTCTAGTTCTTCCTTTGTGAAGTGTTTGTTCATTTCTCTTGCCCATTTCTTGGCGAGGTCATTAATTTTACCTGATTTAATTTTTTAATTCCTTATGTTCTAAATATTAGTCTTCTGTCTGAGGAGTAAGTGGCAAAGTTTTTCTTATTAAAAATAAGCAATGCTCCACGAACTTGCATGTTATGTTTCTGCAGGAGCCGTGTCTACCATCCGGATTTTAGCACACATGCTGCTGGAGTGAGGGCAAGCGAGAATTCTAGATGGATGTTTACTGAATAAGGAGAAAGAGTTTGGTGTGGTAGATTGGCACTGGAAGTGTCCTGTCCAGCACCTGAGAAGTTTCTTTCCTATGTTCAGGAAAGCTTCATGTGATTGTAAAATGAATTTTTGATGATGGGAATAGCTTAATTGAAGGCACGGGAGAGGAGAAGCACAGAGCTCTCCCAGTTTAAAGAATCTTAGGGCAAGATCACTAACACGGACTAGGCCAGCAGGTCCACTGAGTACAGGAAGAGGATGTGACAATTCCCATTAGCATATGTATTTTTGAAGTAATCCTAGACTTACAGAAAAGTTGCAAAAATAGAAAGTTCTCAGATCCATTTAACTAATATTAACACATCAGAAAATCATGGTACAATGATCTAAATAATCAAATGATCACCAGCAATAATACTGATAAATGAACAACAGACCTACTTTGAATTTTGTTAGTTTCCCTACTAATGTCCTTTTTTTCTGAACATGAATTCAAGTCAGGGTCCCACACTGACTTAGTTGCAGTGTTTCCTTAGTCTCTTCTCATGTGTAATATCACCTCAGACTTTGCTTTTCAACTTTGAAAAGTGTGATCAGTTATACTGCAGAATATTTCTCCATCTAAACTTGTCTAGTGTTACAGCTTAAGTTTAGGTTTCCCCTCAAAGCCTCATGAGGTCATAGGTGGGGCTTTTTTAGAAGTGACTGGATCCACAGTGTGTGACTGATCCATGGTACATTGCTAGAATCAAAGGCACTCGGGTTAAGGGTGAGTGCTACCCACCCTAAGTAGCCTGGGTAAAATATAAGGCATTGAAGGAGACTGTGGGTGTCCTTCATTGGTTTGCTAACTTCTGTCTATCCCAAACTATGTCTCCTTGTGATACTTGTCTGTGAGGCTACCCTGTCCTGGAGCCAGCTGATTTTGAACTGAAACCTCTACAACTGTGAGCTAAATAAACCTTTCCTCCTTTAACTTTGGGCTTCAGGTATTTTGTCTCAGCAATGAGAAAAAGTAACTAGGACACCTGGTGTTTTCTAATGAGTGGTTTGAGATCATCATGAATTTTTCAGGAAGAACATCATAAGAGTGATGTATCTTCTCAGTGTATCACTTCCCATGGTACTGAGGATAATATGTTTACTCGTGTTATAAACCTTGATCACTTGGTTAAGGTGGTGTCTTCCAGGTCCAGGAGAAAGTTAGTATGCTCCCTTCAGCAACTGAAAAGTGATGGAGAAAACATTGAGATTGTGTACATAGACTTTCTCCTATTTTCACCAACTAAGTTTAGCATTCATTAATGGTCCTTCCTGCAACATAATTACTATGGTATTCTCTAATAGTAATTTTATAAATTTATTGAAAAATAAGAAAAGTTTATCTTTACTAGTTATTTCACTGGATATACACTGATGCTGTCACGTAACCTGTAAATAAAGATGGATATTTAGGGTTTAAAACTGCTGTTCTGCCCACCTCCAGTTTTACACCAATAAAGATGTTACATTAAATATAATTTCATGTATTGTTCATCAATACCCATAAACCTGTTCCTAAAGATGTGCTGTATGATTGTGTGCTTTTCCAAGGTAATTCTTCAGTCCTG